TGGAGAAGAAATGTTAAGAGGTAGCTTTCATTATGTGCTACAGATGGGTGACAGGCTGCTGAAATAGGCATGCAAATGAGATGATGTCAGTCACCTTATCAAGTTGCAGCAAGAATAATAATAGGACCAATGGCAATAGTTCACCTATAGCAGATATGTCCACCATTGGAATGTCTTTAAAGTAAACAGATGCATGTGGGTTTCCTTCATGAGCCAGTGGAGCATTAAAAAGCCAAGCTGCTCGAACTGAATATGTTCATAAATCCTGGCAATTGGGCCTCCCACCCTAATAACAATCATAACTTTGCACAGACGGATTCATGGCTATCTAGCCATGAATCCGTCTGTGCAAAGTTATGATTGTTATTAGGGTGGGAGGCCCAATTGCCAGGATTTATGAACATATTCAGTTCGAGCAGCTTGGCTTTTTAATGCTCCACTGGCTCATGAAGGAAACCCACATGCATCTGTTTACTTTAAAGACATTCCAATGGTGGACATATCTGCTATAGGTGAACTATTGCCATTGGTCCTATTATTATTCTTGCTGCAACTTGATAAGGTGACTGACATCATCTCATTTGCATGCCTATTTCAGCAGCCTGTCACCCATCTGTAGCACATAATGAAAGCTACCTCTTAACATTTCTTCTCCACAGACTCCCCAAAGGTACCTGTCTTCTGAACCCTAGCTTGCAATTGACACCCCTTCACCCCCAGTCCTGTGAGCAAAATCCAGCAACTTGTCCCTTCAATTGGAAAAGCAGCACCTTGCAGCAAGGATGAGAAGCTGAGCTGAATTCAGATTCTGAGCTGCACTTTAGAAGGAGAGCCCCCACCATTTTTTTAATTGTAGAAAAGGAAAACCTCTAGCAATCAATAGTGCTTAAATTATTTTCAAACACAATTGTAAATATACAAAGATTTCTGCAGCCATGGTGTAGCTTTTTTAAAAAGCAGATAAATACTTACATATACAGTGGTGCCTCGCATTACGACATTAATTCGTTCCAGCAAAATTGCTGCAGAACGAAAACGTCGTAATGCGAAATTAAAAAGCCCATAGAAACGCATTAAAACCCGATTAATGCATTCCTAGGGGCTTGAAACTAACCGTCCAGCGAAAATCCTCCATAGCGCGGCCATGTTCGCTGCCTGTGCAGCGAGGAATCCGTGCCAGAAAAGAGTGGGACGTTTTTTACCCGGTGGCCATTTTGAAACTGCCGATCAGCTGGCCGAAAATCATCGCTTTGCGAGAATCAGTTCCCGAAGCAGGGAACCAATCATCGCAAAGTGAAATTCCCCCATAGGAAACATCATTTTGCGATCACTTTTGCGATTGCAAAACCTTCAACGTAAAGCCATTTTGTCGTAAAACAGAACGCTCGTAATGCGAGACACCACTGTACAATATTGTTCTCTCCCAGCAACCTAACATCAGAGAGAATATTCTCACCAGGGTTACAGTTAGACAGCTTTCTCTCTTTGCTACCTAATCCTTCTCTTCAGTCATCCTTTCTCACTTCTTCCTAGCCCCAAATCCTCTTCCCAGTTCTACTCTTCCTTTCACCTCTGCTCACACTGCATTTCTCTCTCCTTCTCCCTCAATGCATGGGTTCATCCCTTTTTTGCCTGATGCACACTCTGCTGCTGATGGCAAAGCTTCAATGCAGTTAAAGATGCGTGTTCTCCTGACCCCACCAGAAAGCACTTCAGCTACATGTGTGGCAAAGGATTCTAGCCAGCTCCCCATATCTGTAACACATTATGTGCAGACAAGACTCATTATCAGTGGTAGCTGCAAGACTGGAATGTCGGAGAACGGTAAATTTAATTTACAACATTGGTTGATAAGCTAACATGAAGGATTACAAATACACCTGGCATGTCATATTCTACCTGAAGTGCTCACAGTAGACAAGGTGTCTTTCTTTCCAACAAATGAAATCTGAAGAGACCTAAGGACCATTCACTGTAGTATGGAAGCTGATACCCGATGATATCTCTGAATGTGCAATATTACCTGATTATCATTCAGGAAATCTGGTAGCAGATTATGCCCATAATTTTGAGAGTACAGTAGTTTTACACCATGGCAGCACAACAAGCATCCTACAAGACATACACAGTTCCCAAGGGAGCACTGATCTCTCTTTGACTTCACAGACAAACTGTGTTGCTTTTAAAAGCGTGTCCCCCTCCCCCCACAGGAAGGAGATATTTCAAGTTGTTCAATGGCTGGGCTCCAGGCGGACATTTTGGCATCTTGCACCATGGACAACTAATGCATTTCAGTGGCACTGCAGCCTCTCCTGAGAAGTGTGCATGCAATGGGAGGAGAACCAGCCTGGGCAAAATGCAGTACATCAATAAAATGTGCTCGCCAGGGGGTGAGTCCTTAGTACCCTGGACCCCCACTCAGCCCACTTTGTCCCATGCCTAGTATTTTGTGTGAACAATTTTAGGGTGTGAGGAAATTTTTAAAAGGGTTAAGTCCATTTTTCAGTTAACAAAAAGCCATGGCAAGATCCAAAATAGCCCTTGGCTGTTTGGAAATCATCCACCTGTGGAATAGAGGGAGACCTCCGGCCGTTGTTGCCTCTGGCACTGCTCTTTGTCCCTTCTAACAGCCAGGTGGGCCACTTTGCCCCCAGAAAGTTCCTTGGCAGTACACTGCTCTCACACTCTTTAGCAATTTCTGTCTAAAGAAGAAGTAATCCCAGTCGTCTCTATTGTCCCTGTCACTTAATTGTAAGCATCAAGGACTTCCCCATCCTCGCTATTTAGCAAGCATGCAATCCAACAAACAATAAGCTTTGGTACTTCTCAGGTGAAGTCGTGAGAGGACACCTGCCCATAATTTATTGAGAAACAAGGAGAAGGGACAAAGCTCTTAATCCTGTTGCTGTGTGGCTGTTGGCAAGGACACAACAGCATAGTGAGGAGGGGGCTCTCAGGAACAATTAGTTACATTAGCAGGGTGAGGAAGGGAGATACTTCCCAGCTATCCTGCACATTTGCTTCAGACTAATAACGAAGGTAGAAAAAGATGGAAGGCAAGAAAAAAGGTCCCAGTCCCTTGTACCTCTTATTACATGGGAGCCCTTGTTTTCTTCTGCTATCACTCTGGTAAGCATCTGAATCTAGGAGCCATGCGGACAGTGGTTCTTTGCTATCCAAGAAACATAATGGGCTGACTGGCTGAAATGAATTGCACAGTGGGTCCTTCACACCCGGTTACTGCATTCCAGTGTTGCCAAACACGAGATCTGGAGTGAAGTAAATTTTGTATCCTTCATGCAGTTACACAAGAATTGAGACTTTTGTGCCACCAACTATTTTCGGAAAGACCACGTGACAGCAATTCCAGACATGGCTGATGTCAAAGCGGGAAAATATGTAGGGCAGCTGGAGAAAAGGACACATGTGGAAGAGCTATAGGTAACCAAACTGTAAAATTAAGGCAACTGACATCAGTCTTAACACATTCATATATATATTAATCCAAAGACAATTTCATGTTATGAGTACTCTTCAGTCACTTCAATACATTTACCAAGTATATATCAGTTGCATGGGAACATTTGCTTATCTGGGTGGTTAGTATTTGGAAAGGGTAAAGCAAAAATACTGATGACTCCATCAAAATAGATTATGTACAGAATCTATGGTTCATTCATCAGGTTCTTGGCATAATCTTTTAAAGGAATAAATACATGGGTTGAGAGAAGAGCTGCGAATTATTGAATTGAGGTACATAAATGCAATAGATAAACCATATTCTGTGAGAAAATAGGACAGGAAAAAAACTGAGGATGGGAAAATAAGGAATGAAAGTGGATCTTGCACAGTAGTTGTCAGACTTTACCTTAGCTCCAAGTAAACATCTTTCTACAGGGTGAAAGTAGATGTGGGAAGTGGACATGGAGAAATGAAAAATGGACACTGGAACACAAACAAACAAACCGTTCAAGAGATGCAAAGTTGAGTTTCAGCAAGCTGCTGCTTCTTGAAAGAAGGCTCTTCTGATTGGATGATAACTCCAGCCAGATTCATGAAGTAAAGGATACTAAAACTTTGATTTGTTATTTCAAAGTTCCATAAGTTTATCCTCAAGTCATCCGCTGACATGTAGGTTTCATAGTCACTGTTCACAGATATGGAGTTGATGTGATATGTGTGGGCATTTGCAAATACTCTCCTGGGAGTTGCCTCCACCATTAAGTCCATGGGCCTTAGCACAGGTACCTGGGAAAGACAAGGAACAAAAAGAAGCTGGTTAAAGAGAGAGCCCAAGAAAAAAACTCTACTACAAAAGAAGTCATCACACTATATATTGCAATGTCACAATTTGTTTCAAAACAATACCTATGGCTTTCAGATTTCTACTGTTCACTTTGAAAGGGATGCTCTCTGATTTAGGTTCAGTTATAACAGGTCCTTAATTGTCATTATTAGGTGTATTACCTACCATTGTAATTTGTACATCAGGTCCTGCATTTGAAAACTGGCTTTGGTTCATGACAGGCAACAAAGCTCATTCCTTAAAACACACACAACTTTAGTTCCTGTGAATTTTGCTCATTTCAACTGAAATCTGTTCTACACATTATGCACAAACATGTCTGTTTAGTTTTTTAAAAGCCATTGCAAGAGCAAGGGAGTATAGAGATAGAGCTCTTCCAGATGAGGCAAAAGTACCACCCCAAGCAGCAGAGTTTGGTTCCAGTTTGTTAAAAAGAAGGCACAACTTACTGGGATTCATATCAAGACTTTACTATAAAATGCAGGAAAAAAAGATGTATATAGATGTATCAAATAAGTGTTGGAAATGTGAAACACAAGTGGGAAGTTATTATCATATGTGGTGGTCATGTGGAGTAGCGAAAAAATACTGGAAAAGAGTACATGCTATGTTACAACAAATATTGCTCTGTAAGGTGCCATTAACCCCAGAATTGTTTCTACTGAGTATGATATCCGATAATATAGATAAGTCAAAGGAATACATATATATATTGTTACGGCAGCTAGAATTATATATGCTAGAAATTGGAAAAGTCCGATGGTACCGAAACAAGAAGATCTTATTGAAAAGATACGGGAAATAGCCGAAATGGATATCTTATCAGAAGTCATGAAAGACCATCCCCTGCAAAAGGCAACAGAAAGATGGGATCTATTTAACAGGTGGACTGAATCAACAGGCAGTGTCTGAATAACATATATTGAAATGAGAACATTATCTATAAGGCAGAAAAGAGTACACAGTATAACTTAAAATCTTGATATGGCAATAGGTATAGATTGGATATCATTATGTTATTGTCTTCCCTCTTCCTCACTAATTCCAATTCCCCTTTTCCTTTTTGTTACCCCTTATGTTAAAAAATTAAAAAAAATGAAAAAACGAGAGACTTTACTATGAAATGCCATATGTTTCTGACTGGAAATCTGGGAAATTCTTGAAAAACACTTTGAATCCCATCTCCCTACTGTTGCTTCATTTATGGAACCATTTTAACATTTGTTTAATATTTCTGAGGTAATGACATGCTTCTGATGGTGAGCATCTGGCATGGCGATGAACACCCAACAGAAAGCACTGTAGCACTATTGTCCTCTACTTGAAAAACTCAAAACAAATCTCTAGAGCAAAATAAACCATCCCCTGAAGAAGTGACAAAAAAACAAACAGACAAACAAAACAAAACAAAAAACCAAAAAACACAGAAAAACAGGAAAGCAGGAAAAAAAAGTCACACAAAGTCCTTGAAGACAGCAGATCAGGTGTCTGAAGGACTGGAAAAGTACCACAGCAAACAGTGTGGGAAAAAGCACTTCTATCCTGCCTGGAAGAGCCCACTATGGGAGAACCAAAGGCTAAGCATTTCTCCTCTGCTGCTTCTTTGTCCAGTTCTCTACCTTCCAAAGATGTTTCTACCCAATCAACTAATCATCAATTTGTTAATCAATAACAACTTCCACAGGCAATGATAACAGCGTGCATGACATGTAGTCAACCATTTTGTCTTTAGTAAGACTAGGGGGATGTATTGCATAAAACAGTAGTGAAGGACATGCAAGGTTACCAGAAGGATTTTCTATCACTGAGAAACAATAAAAGGTGAGCAGCAGGGTACCAGAATGTCGCTTTTAGCATTTCAGAAATGTAATATAAATATGCTCTTTATTTATATATTTAATTCTTAGCCTGCCATTTTTCAAGAGTACAACAAATTCAATTTCATTTTTTTAAAAAATAAAAGAACTAAATTATCTCACTGGGAAAAAGAGACAGCTTCACTAGTTTTAGATTGGTTCGCCAGGATGCAGCAATCATGATGAAGTTATTATAAGGTCGAAAGAAAAATCAATTCTCTGAACACAAGTTTGTTGAAGGATAGAATTTTTCTGTTGCTTCGGGGAATGACAAAGTTGGTGACAATATTCAATCTCATTTAGAGTTCTTTCTGGATTCTCTATTAATGCGGCTTAGCTGTTCTTATAACAACAACAACAACAACAACAACTAATATTTTGTAAGCATCAAAACTAAAAATGCATACAATTGCTTTGATTTTTATTAGTTTTCTTGATGTACCTTGATTTTATTTCACGTATAAATGTCTTGCATTTATGTTTTACTTCCCATTTTATAGGTGCTTTATTGTAGTATATGAGTTGATTGTATTTGTATTATAATTAGTCACATTGTGTTCAGTTTGGAGAAAAAACAGAGTACACATTTAACAGGAAAGAATTCACATTAAGTTAGATCACTAATCCGTATGGCCCTCCTATGCTATTCTCCTTATAGCATCACACATTAGTTGCATCCAGATGCTTCTCATTCCACCTGAGTGACCACCTCCATTATAAAGAATTTAATTTCCTCATGCCTTTGTTTTCAACCAGAGATGGGACATCCAAAGGGCCCTCTGTATGTATAGACCCATACACTGCAGGGATGTTTTTCTCTCTGTGAATTACTGATGCAGAGTAAAGAAATAAAAAGCGGTTTGTAAACAAAAAGCAATTCTATTACAAACCACAACATTCCTTGAAGAAAAAGAAAATGTTGCAGAAAGAGTCGAAATAATCTTGAACAAGATATTCTCCCATCAAACATTATTAAAAGCAATATTTTTGAGAAATAAGATCACGGTTGACATAGATTTTATCCTCTTTCCAGCAACTTTCACTATTATATCATGAAATAAAAGAATGGGGGTCACAGCAGGGTAGGGGAGGACTGATTGATTGATTGATTGACATACGTATTTATTTATTTATTTAATTCATTACATTTATATCTCACCCATCTAGTGCCTAAGCACTACTCTGGGCCGCAAACAACTGTTAAAACACAATTACCCAGTTCCACCCATAAGGATGCAAAGTAGAACCAGCATGAAGGATAGGAACACAAATACTAAGACACATAGCATAAAATTTCTCCGTTTTTGCTACTAATGGATAATCCAGAAAGGTATCAGTCAATGAACACACATTGCCCGTGCCAGCAGACATGAACCGGAGTGTAAATAATACCTTCAACTACATAACACCATAAGGCCACTTAATATTACCAAAAGGTGTCAGCCAAAGGTGACCAGTGCCAGTAAAGTATTTCCTCTGGTGACTTCATTACTTTGCATTATTGTCTTTATGCTACCCAGGGAAATTTCCCATGGCTGTGAAGGTGGGGACTGGAGTATGACAGCCAGGATCAAGTGACACTAGAACACAGGAACTGCCAGCTCAGAGTCTGAGATTAATGTGACGAGCCTGCTTTCTAATTCAGCCTGACATATTCAATGATGCATCGTTTGCTGTTGAAGGACTTGGCTCAGCCATCTGGGGACATGGCTTAGCATTTTGCCCAGAGACTGCAGGGAGCAAACCGCCATTCAGGCTGTCAGAAACATGATGGTTTTCAAAAGGTAAAGGGTTCAAGGGTCATACTAGATTTCCCTAAAAACACTCAGAAGAAACACATGGATGAAATCAAAAACGTGTAAAGCTAAGTAGGAAAGGCATGCTTAGAAGTAAGTAGTTAAAATCTGGAAGCAACTAGTTACAGTACTTGTAATAAATTCATTTCCTCAGTGCATAAGGTATAACTGCATTACATTCTGACTATAATTTAGCAGGACAACAGTGTTGCCTTTTTTGTGTGCTATAACTAACTTTTAGCGACATTGTGTGGTCAACTTAAATGGTGGATGAGGTTCAAATACTGGCCTGTGATGGACTTCTTGCTATGGCTTTGTGCTCAGTCATAGCAGATAAGCAATGACAAAGCTGACAGGACAGAACTAGCTGCTTCTTTCTGCTTTAAATGAGGGTGCCCCAGAACCCTGGGCCCTCTTCCCTGGGAAGCTGGGCTGAGGCTGAAGGTCAAGTATGGTTGCATGGACATTTTGCTGAAGAGGGTTTTTGTTGTTGTTGTTGTTTTGGCTGGGCTTTCTTTTGGTCTCCCCACTGCATGGCCTAACGGCGTGCGAAATTCTCAAATTCTCTGAATCTATCTCTGACCCTAATATGGTAAATAGGAAAGCCAATTCGAATTGCATACACCTGGGAGACAGGATCATACTTCCGCACTTTTAGAGAGCAGGCCGGGTAGGTGGGGCTCGTCAGACATGGAAGGCAGCCCATCTAGGTGAAGGAAAACTCCGATTTCAAACCTTCACTGCCTTTTGGCTATATCCACTCATGGAAAAGGCTTCAGGAGTTAACTGTGAGGCAAAATCTGGAGCTGGAGTCCCAAAGGCAGTTCATGTCATTCTGCCAACTCTGCGATGTTGCTGGAACCAGTTGTATTGGCTCTTGCCTTTCCACTGGTCCATTTCAGCAATGTGGAGAGGGGGGTTCTGCTGCTTGGGTAACAGCCTATCCTCCATATTACTTTACCCAGGCTTCATGCTCTGGAGAGGACACTCCTCGATACAGAGCACATTACCATAGTCTCTCGAGACTGAAGCATGCCTATGCTATGCCTTAGAAATAATTTTCCAGTTTTGGACAGGTACAACTTTACTGGTTTCCAACTTTGTTTGGCCAAATGTGCACTGAAAGGTTTATTATGATTAGTGAGACAAAATCAATAAACAGGCAGACTGGACAAATTAATTAAAAGAGAAATATACACGCTGAAATCCAGTAGGTAGTCACAAACAGAAAAACATAGATAGGCATATTTGTATGCTTATAGTATGGGAGGAGTTTACTTTTCAGACAAA